CCACCACCCTATAATAGGATATTCATATACACAGAATTTACATCAGGTTTACTTATAGTGGAAGAAGTGTCACTCTCCAGAGATATCACGCTGGACTTTAGGGGTCTTCATATAAATCCCAGTGTCAAAGGCAACGTTCATGACCATGGTAAGGAGACCAGGGCCCTAAACGTCTTGAGGTTCTCCATACAGTCACCCTGTTTGCTACAAAAAACTGTTCTATTTACACAATATATAGACTTATTCCAGCTGTATTACTTGAATTTCACTTCCAACTTGTATATTATTTGTATCTGCTACGGGGGTAACGTGTGGAAAGGCCTGGAGACTAACCACCACCTTGCCTCCATTCTCGGTCATGTTGAAATCATGGACACTAGTCGTGTTTTTAGCAGTGATGAGGGCCAAGTTTTTCAGTACAATGTCCCGGCACATGCTGCTGGGCTCACTCGATTTCTCGGATATAGGGACTAGCAACGGTGAGTGGACGTCAAAGTTGGACAGTCTTGTCTTTTTAATCCTATGGACGCTTCTGTGTTTGATGAACTGTGACAGGGACTGACAGACCAGGCCACAGTCCAAGCACTTCAACTTGTATTCGTTCTCAGTTTCCATCTGCGATCGTTTCAACATGTGTTCGCTCAAGGTTTCCACTCGTTGGTTGTCGACGGTCCACTTCAGCACCTGATCATTACATGGTTCTGAAGGTTTATCCGAACATTTCAACGCAGGTTCCCCCTGAACTCCCACTTGTTGGTTGTTGACTGTCCACTTTAACACTTGTTTACTCTGTGGTTCTACCTCTTGAACGGGGACTGGACATTCCAACACAAGTTCATTCTCGTTGTCCACTTTTTGGCTATTGACCGACCACTTCAACACTTCCTCCTTTGGCTGTGCGTTCATGCGCAGGCTTCTTCCCGGGTATTTAATCACAATTTCATCCTCGGTCTCAACGCATTGGAAGCCACCTGGAGACTTCATTGTGTGTTCTTGCCGCGATGTCACGTGTTTGTCGTAGACCAATACCTCTTCATTCTCAGTTTTTATTTGTGGAGCGAGGTCTGAAAATTTCAGCTGGTGTTTTTTCTGGGGTTCTCGATGCTGAAGGAGGTCGGAATGTTTCACTGGCTGTTCCTTACGGTGTTCCGGACGTTGCTGTGATTTCAGGTGTTTGTCACAGGCTAATAACTCTTCGTTCTCAGTTTTTATCTGTGGAGCAAGGTCTGGAATTTTCAGCTGCAGTTCATTCTGGTGTTTAAGAGGTTGACGGAGGGATGAATGTTTCACGTGTTGTTGATTACGGGGTTCTGGACGTTGCTGTGAATCCATAGGTTTGTCATAGAGAAACATCTTATCATTTCCAGTTTTTATATGTGGAGCGAGGTCTGAAAATTTCAGTTGGCGTTCATTCTGGAGGTTCTCGATGTTGGAGGAGGTCCGAATGTCTCGCTTGCTGTTTTTTACGGGGTTCCAGACGTTGCTGTGATTTCAGGTGTTTGTCATAGACCAATACCTCTTCATTCTCAGTTTTAATGTGTGGATTGAGGTCTGGAAAGTTTAGATGGTGTTCATTCTGGTGTTTCAGAGGTTGACGTAGTTCTGGAGATTTCACCTGCCGTTCATTGCTAGGTTCCGGATGTTGCAGTGATTTCATGTGTTTGTTGTGGACTAAAACCTCTTCATTTTCGGCTTTTACGCGTGGACCACGGTCTGAAAATTTCAGTTGATGTTCATTCTGGAGTTCCAGATGTTGAAGGAGGTCTGAATTTTTCACCGGTCGTTCATGTTGGGGTTCCAGATGTTGACGGAGGTCTGAATGTTTCACTTGCTGTTCATGTTTACCAGATGTTGACGGAGGTCTGTGTTTCACTTGTTGTTCATGTTGGGTTCCAGATGTTGACGGAGGTCTGAATGTTTCACTTGTTGTTCACGTTGGGGTTCTAGATGTTGAAGGAGATCTGAATTTTCACCGGTCGTTCATGTTCATGTTGGGATTCCAGATGTTGACGTAGGTTTGAATTTTTCACCGGTCGTTCATGTTGGGATTTCCAGATGTTGATGGAGGTCTGAATGTTTCACTTGTTGTTCATGTTGGGGTTCCAGATGTTGATGGAAGTCATGAATGTTTCACTTTCGTTCATGTTGGGGTTCCTGATGTTGAAGGAGGTCTGAATGTTTCACTTTCGTTCATGTTGGGGTTCCAGACGTTGACCGAGGTCTGAATGTTTCACCTTTCGTTCATGTTGGGGTTCCAGACGTTGACGGAGGTCTGAATGTTTCACCTGTTGTTCATTTCGGGGTTCTGGACGTTGCTGTGAATTCATGTGTTTACCATAGATGAATGCCTTATCATTTTCAGTTTTTATATGTGGAACAAGGTCTGGAAATTTCAGTTGGTGTTCACTCTGGGGTTCCAGATGTTGAAGGAGGTCTGAACATTTCACCTGTGGTTCATGTTGGGGTTCTCGGTGTTGAAGGAGGTCTAAATGTTTCACTTGCTGTTCCTTACGGGGTTCCAGACTTTGCTGTGATTTCAGGTGTTGAGCATAGAGGAACACCTCTTCATTCTCAGTTTTTATATGTGGACCAAGGTCTGAAAATTTCGCTTGATGTTCATTCTGGGGTTCTTGATGTTGAAGGAGGTCCAAAAGTTTTACATGCTGTTCCTTACGGGGTTTCCACACGTTGCTGTGATTGCAGATGTTTGTCATATACTAATACCTCTTCATTCTCACATTTTACGTGTAGAACTGGAAATTTCAGCTGGTGTTCATTCTGGTGTTTCATAGGTTGACAGAGGTCTGAATGTTTCCCCTGTCGTTCATTATGGGGTTCTGAGCAATGTTGTGAGTTCATGTGCTTATCGTAGACCAATACCTTATCATTTCCAGTTTTTATGTGTGGACCAAGGTCTGAAAATTTCAGTTGGTGTTCTTTCTGGGGTTCTGGGTGTTGACAAAAGACTGAGTGTTTCACCTCATGTTCATTTTGAGGTTTTGGATGATGAAGATCTGAATGTTTCACCTGTCGTTCAATTCTGGGTTCTGGTGATTTGACATGTTTGTCGTAGACTAATATCTCTTCATTCTCAGTTTTTATGTGTGGACTGAGGTCTGAAAATTTCAGATGGTGTTTATTCTGGGGTTCTGGATGTTGACGGAAGACAGAATGCTGCACATTTTGGGGTTCCAGATGTTGACGGGGATCTGAATTTTTTACCTGTCTTTCATTTCTGGATTCCAGATGTTGAGTTGACTTCATGTGTTTGTCGCAGACTAATACCTCTTCATTCTCAGTTTTTATGTCTAGACCAAAGTCTGAAATTGTCAGCCATTGTTCATTCTGGGGTTCCAGATGTTGACGAAGGTCTGGATGCTTCACCTGTTGTTCATTCTGGGGTTCTGGGTGTTTACGAAGGTCTGAATGTTGCACCTTGTGTTCATTTTGAGGTTCCACATGTTGACAGAGGTTTGAATGTTTCACCTGTTGTTCATGTTGGGGTGCCAGATGTTGACGGAGGTCTGAATGTTTCACCTGTTGTTCCTGCCGGGGTTCCAGATGTTGCTGTGATTTCATGTGTTTGTCATAAATTAATACCTCTTCATTCCCTTTTTTAATGATTGGACCAAGGTCTGAAAATGTTAGATGGTGTTTATTTTGGGGTTCCAGATGTTGACAGGGTTCTGAATGTTTAACCTGTCGTTCATTTCTGGGTGCCGGATGTTGCGTTGATTTCATGTGTTTGTTGTAGGCTAAAACCTCTTCATTCTCAGTTCTTACGTGTGGACCAAGGCCTGAAAATTTCAGCTGGTGTTCTTTTTGGGGTTGCAGATGTCGAAGGACGTCTGAATGTTCCACTTGTTGTTCATGTCGGGGTTCCAGATGTTGTTGTGATTTCATGTGTATGTCATAGATGATTACCTCTTCATTCTCTTTTTTTATATGTGGACCAAGGTCTAAAAATTTTAGATGGTGTTTGTTATGGGGTTCTGGATATTGGCAGAGGACTGAATGTTTCAACTGTCGTTCATTTATCGGTTCTGGATGTTGATTGAGGTCTGAATGTTTCGCCTGTCGTTCATTTATGGGTTCTGGATGTTGCACTGATTTCATGTGTTTCTGGTACACGAACACCTCTTCGTTTTCTGTTTTTCTGTGAGTACCAAGGTCTGAAAACTTTAGCTGGTATTTATTCTGGGGCTCCAGATGTTGACAAAAGTCTGACTTTTTGACCTGTTGCTCTTTTCGGGGTTGTGGATGTTGATGGAGGGCTGAAGGTTTCACTTGTTGGCCGATTCGGGGTTCTGGATGTTGATGGAGGGCTGAAGGTTTCACCTGTTGGCCTATTCGGGGTTCTGGATGTTGATGGAGGGCTGAAGGTTTCACCTGTTGGCCTATTCGGGGTTCTGGATGGCGATGATGGGTTTCACCTGTTGGCTATTCTGGGTTTGGATGTTGATGGAGGGCACACCTGTTGGCCTATTCGGGGTTCTGGATGTTGTTGCATGGAGTTCATGTGGTTGTCATAGACCACCTACCGGGGTTCTTTTGCATGTTTTTGGTTGTCAGTTTTTAGTATATGTGGACGAAAGGCAGAAAATTTTAACGGATATTCATTTTGGGGCTCCAGATGTTGAAGGAAGTCTGAATGTTCCACTTGTTCATATTGGGGTTCTGGATGTTGCCAGGGTTTCAGGCGGTGATCATTCAGGGGCTCTGGATGCTGGCGCAGTTCTAAATTTTTAGGTTGGTGCCCAATGTGAGGTTCCTGCCATAGATTAAGGTCCATCATCTCCTCTGGCTCAGATTTAATATGTTGAGCAATATGAGAATATGTCAGCTCTGGTTCTCCATGAAGTTCCCTGTGTTGAGTGGTGTCCAAAGAACTGAGCTCATACTTCTGGGTGTCAGTGTATTGACTAGCCGGATCTATAATGTCCTGTTTGCCATCGACCGATGGAAAGTGCACGCGCTTGTGACGATTCAGAGTCGAAGAGTCATTGAAGCTCTTGCCGCAGACAGGGCAATGGAAGGGTTTTTTCTCCCGTGTGAACTCTGATGTGCCTCCGCAGCTTGGCGTGTTCTACAAAGCCCCTACTGCAAATGTGGCATTGGTAGGGACGTTCTCCAGTGTGCCTCCTCATGTGAATTATCAGGGAGGATTTCCGAGGGAAGCCTTTTTCGCACACCGAGCACTGGAACGGTTTCTGACCATTGTGAGTTTCCTGGTGCGCGAGGAGCATACACCGGTAGATAAAGCTTTTACCGCAGTCGGGGCAATGGTGAGGCTTATTTCCAGAATGGGTTTTCTGGTGGGTGAGCAGCTTAGAGGGGTACATGAAGGACTTTCCACAGTCTTGGCAAACGTGTGGCTTCTGTCCACAGTGAGTCTTCTGGTGGATGAGAAGGTTGGATTGGTGTGTGAAACGCTTGTCGCACTCGGCACACGAGTAAGACTTTGGCTTGGTGTGGGTTTTCCGGTGAGTGACCAGCTTGGACGGGTATGTGAAGGATTTGTCACAGTCAGGGCACTTGTAAGGTCTCATCCCACCATGAATGATGAAATGTCGAACCAGAAATTTCCACACGTCGAAGGTTTCGCCACAACTGGCGCAGATGTAAAGCTTTTCTCCAGAGTCTGGCTCATCTGTGATGGGTTTATTGGCCTCTATAGTTTTGGGGGAGTCGTTTGGCTCTGGGCTCTTCTCTGGCTCATGGTGCCCTTCCAACTCAGGATGATCTGGTGGTGGGCATTCAGCTTGATTGCTGCACTCGACTGGCTCACCGTTTTCCATGGGCTTGTGGAGCTCCCCCCCTTCAGTGTTCTCAGTCTGCGAGGGGCATACAGCTACTTCAAGGCACGTCACTGGTTCATGGCATGTATCTGGCTCACTGCACTCCACTGGCTGAGGGAATACAGTCAACCTAATTAATGCCACTGGCTGAAGGCAGGGGCTTACAGGTGGCTCACTGCACTCCATTGGCTGAAGGCAATCAGCTGGGTCACTGCACACCCCTGGTTGGGGGCACACAGTTGACTTAATTAACGCCACTGGCCGAGGTCGGGGACTTATTCCTTCAATTGGCTTCGCTAGCAACACTGGCTGAGGGCAGGGACTTATAGGCGACTCACTGCACTCCACTGGCTGAAGGCAATCAGCTGGGCCATTGGACACCACTGGCTGCGGGCAGGGACTTACAGGTGGCTCACTGCACTTTCTTGTCTGACGGCAGAGACTTACAGGTGGCTCACTGCGCTCCACTGGCTGAGGGCACACCACTGGTTGAGGGTTGACAGTTGGTTCACTGCACACCACTGGCTTACGCTTCACAGCTGGTCCACTGCGCTTCACGGTCTTACAAGACCTAACCGGCTCACGGCACGGCCCCGAAACATCTTCCGCGGTAATGTTCTGGTTACAAGGCTCTTCCATTTTTAGGCCGTGAAGCTGTAAGGTGAAATCGGTGAGGATTTCCAGGGTGGACTTGGACTTGATCTGCATATTTTGAATCCTAACTTCTTTGGGTTTCTCGGTTGCGCTTTGTGCTGCGCGAGTCCCCATGCCAACCAGAGACTGAAACAAAGTTTTTTCTGCGGAAACCAAGACAAAAAAAAAAAAAAATATATAGTTACAGATTAATAGTACAGGAAGTGAGGAATATTAAATCTGACCTTCCCTTCATTCTTGGTGTACCGGCTTCCCCCCCCCCCCATGGACTGAAATGGTTTACTCCGTCCGCCTAGGAACACCCACTGACACCCGCCTATCAAGGCATTTTGATAGTGGCATAGCTCCTCCCAAGAGCCAGCCCACAGCTTACATCAGGGTTGAGGGCACTTGGGAGGAGTGCAGAGCTTTCTCTGCCATCAAAGCGGTTGTAAAGGTTCAAGGCCTCTTACCGTCATGTATTCTATGCATGAAGATAAAAAACCCGCTCTGTGCAGCCCCCCCCCCAATACTCACCTCAGCCCCCTCTCCATCCAGCGATGTGCACTGGAGTCTCAGCAATCCCGGGAATCCCTCTCCTCATTGGCTGAGGCAATGGTTCCCGCAGCTGTCAATCACAGCCAGTGAGCCAATGAGGAGAGTGGGCGGGGCTGAGCTGCGTGTGAATGTTCTCCAGTTTCTATCACAATTTGTCACATGCCTGATGAAGGGGTCCTGCGAGACTCCGAAACGTTGCCTTGCTGCAACTATGTGATTGTTCATTAAAACATTTGGACCCGTATTGGCGATCCTCGGTGGGCTGGTGATATGTTTCCTTCCTCTCTGTGTGTGAATGGAGACGCGGAGCAGCCGCTTGGGAACGTGCCTGCATGGGTGCCCTCATAGCAAGCAGCTTGCTGTGGTAGCACCCGACAGGAGGGCCAGGAGCACCGGCGGGGGGACTGAAGAAGCGGAGGATCCGGGCTGCTCTGTGCAAAACCATTGCAAGGAACAGGAAAGTATACCATGTTTATTTATTTTATTTAAGCCTTTAGCATCACTTTAACCCCTTGCCTACCGGACACTTCTACCCCCTTCCTGCCTACAGGACACTTCTACCCCCTTCCTGCCTACCGGACACTTCTACCCCCTTCCTGCCTACCGGACACTTCTACCCCCTTCCTGCCTACCGGACACTTCTACCCCCTTCCTGCCTACCGGGCACTTCTACCCCCTTCCTGCCTACCGGGCACTTCTACCCCCTTCCTGCCTACCGGACACTTCTACCCCCTTCCTGCCTACCGGACACTTCTACCCCCTTCCTTCCTACAGGGCACTTCTACCCCCTTCCTGCCTACAGGACACTTCTACCCCCTTCCTGCCTACAGGACACTTCTACCCCCTTCCTGCCTACAGGGCACTTCTACCCCCTTCCTGCCTACCAGGCACTTCTACCCCCTCCTTACCAGGCCAATTTTCAGCTTTCAGCGCTGCCGCACTTTGATTGACAATTGCGCGGTCATGCAACACTGTACCCATATGAAATTTTGATCATTTTTTTCTCACAAATAGAGCTTTCTTTTGGTGGTATTTAATCACCGCTGGGCGCTTTACTTTTTGCGCTATAAATAAAAAAAGTGCAAAAAATTTGAAAAAAAAAAAAAAGTTTCTTTGTTTCTATTATAAAATTTTTCAAACAGGTATTTTGTCTCCTTCACTGATGTGCGTTGATGAGGCGGCACTGATGGGCACTGATAGGCGGCACTAATGAGGTGTCACGGATAGGTGGCACTGATAGGCGGCACTGATAGTTGACACTGATGATGGGTACTGATAGAGGGCACTGACTGGCATCGCTGCTGGGCACTGACTGGTGGCACTGACTGGCAGCACTGCTGGGCTGCACTGGTGGGCAGCACTTGCGGGTGGGCACAGGTGGGTGGCACTGGTGGGCACAGGTGGGTGGGCACAGGTGGGTGGCACTGCAGAGTGGCACAGGTGGGTGGGCACAGGTGGGTGGGCACAGGTGGGTGCACTGCTGGGCACAGGTGGGCGGAGCTAGTGGGCGCACTGCTGGGCACAGGTGGGCGGAACTTGCGGGTGGCACTGCTGGGCACCGATCATCAGGGCACTGATCATCAGTGCCCTGATGATCGGTGCCGATCCCCGCTCTGACAACTGCCGGTTCTCAGCAGTACTTTCCTCACGATCTGACAGCGTGAGGAAAGTGCAGCCGAGAACCGGCACTTGCATTTCCCTGTGATCAGCGTGTCATTGGACACCGCTGATCACGTGGTAAAAGGCCGCTGTGATTGGCCTTTTACCACATCACGTGATCAGCTGTGTCCGTAGGACACAGATCACGGAGATCGCCGGGGTGCGCGCCCCCTGGGGCGCGCAGGAGAGCGCGTTCTGGGAGGACGGTATATGACGTCCACTCAGAACTGGCCGGCCGCAGTGCAGCCGTCATTCGGCTATCTGCGGTCGGCAGGTAGTTAAGCATTCTTGCTTCATCACGTGTAAGCATGACCTTTGGAGCTGTGTCAGCCGCTGTACTGCTGTTCCTCAGCAGTGTATGAAAGAACACATCCCTGGCATCCCTTTAGATGTGCATGCAGCTCCCTGCTGGCCACCTGCCGCTGCGAAAGTTAATTGTGCATTTTGATAATTAGTGGCTTGATTACACGCTAATAAAAGGATCAGCAGATTGCACAGCTGAAGTCTGTAGCACCTGGTGGCCAGCAAGGAGGAGCATGCATGTCTAAAGGGATGCCAGCGATGCGTTTTTTTAAATATATATAACACTTAAAGCAGTTAAGAGGGAGGTGCTGAGAGATTCTGTGCTTGTAATGGCAGGCTGTCATGTTTGCAGTGAGAGTGAGCATTCAGAGTGATGACATTGCCGCTGTGTATAGGGCGCACAAAGGCAGCATTGTCATCCTTACTTAGGTCTTTGGGGTTAAATGTTATAATATTATGACAAACTGCTTTCCTGGAAGCAAACAATGGAGTTGAAGGATGAGCCATTTAATAACATATTCCAGCACGAGGGGTTACATAGACGGTAGGCTCTCCATGCTCTGCCTATACAGACTGCAGCTCCAGAATACAATTTACAAAGTGCATGCAAGGAATATGTGGAACAGGCAGGAACACCAACAGGCATGTCATTCTCCCCAGGAGAACCTGAACCCCAGAAATCCTCAGTAGACACCTACACCTTTCTGCATACGATTTTCTTTATCGCCCAGATGGCTCCACAGACCGCAAATCTCTAGGAGCTTTCTATAGAAATATCAGATTTTGGGCTTTGAAAGTTGGAGCTTTAAACCACATCTATGGAAGCGTGAGCTCCTGTCCTGGTCAGAGTCCTGTGTACGGCGTACAGCCCGGGGGGGAGAGAAGGGAAGGATGATGGGGGGAGAAGGGAAGGGTGATGGGGGGGAGAAGGGAAGGATGGGGGGGGGGGAGAAGGGAAGGATGATGGGGGAGAGAGAATGGAAGGGTGATGGGGGGAGAGAGAAGGGAAGGATGATGGGGGGGAGAGAAGGGAAGGAGAGGGGGAAGGATGATGGGAGGGAGAGATGGGAAGGAGGATGGGAGGGAAGAGGGAAGATGGGGGGAAGGGGGGAGAAGGAAACGATGGGGAGGGAGAGAAGGGAAGGATGGGGGGGGGAGAGAAGGAGAAGGGAAAGGATGGGGGGGGGGGAGAGAGAGGGAAGGGATGGGGGGGAGGAAGAAGGGGGAAGGATGGATGGGGGGAGAGAAGGGAAGGACGATGGGGGGAGAGAGAGAGAAGGGAAGGACGATGGGGGGAGAGAAGGGAAGGACGATGGGGGGGAGAGAAGGGAAGGACGATGGGGGGAGAGAGGGAAGGGACGACGGGGGAGAGAAGGGAAGGGACGATGGGGGGGGGGGAGGGAAGGACGATGGGGGGAGAGAGGGGGGGATAATGGGGGGGGGGGGGGAGGACAGGGGGGGGATGGATGATGGGGGGGGGGGGGGAAGGAGGAGGGATGGAGAGGGGAAGGGATGGGGGGGGGGGGGGAGGAGGGAAGGATGACGGGGGGAGGGGAGGAAGGGAGGGAAGGATGATGGGGGGGGGGGGGAAGAGGAGG